CTCAAATGTGCCTTCGGACATGCCGATGATTATGATGATGCTTTTCAACAATTATATCATCTTCGCCAAGAGCCATCTAAGTCGGTGATGCAATTTGGCGTTCGTTTCTAAAGTCTTTTGCTTTGTGTGGAGCCTAATATGTCTGAGCGGATCAAGCTAGGAATGTTGTGGCTAGCACTTCGTCAAGATCTTGTCAGACTTGTGCATGCACTTGCTCCCACCACCCTTGACGATGCTCTTCGCTTGGCACAACATTATGAGATGTCACCTTTTCCACTTCTCGCTACATGTCCTTCTACTCCACTTCCTATGAGTGATGGTCCTGTTCCAATGCAAGTTGATGCTGCTGTTGCTTGAGTCCAAGGACAAGGGCGAGGACATGGTCATGGCTGTGATATTCGTTGTTGGACGTGTGATGAAGTTGATCATAGTTATTGGCGTTGTCGAGGTTTTCCGGATTGGCGACCTCCATTTCCTGAGTGAAGACCTTAGCGTCAGAAACGTCCCGTTAGTGCTGCTGCAGTGGAAGGTTTGGACACCAAGGTGCATCCAAGAAACAAAGAGTCACACGAGTAATGGAGGGACTTTGCGTGAATAAGTTAATGACCCCTCTATTTTTCTTTTAGGAGTATCATCAAGGGGTTCACTTGGCACTAGTTCATCTAATGTTTACATTCCAAGCTTGTTTTTATACCAAGAGGTCTCCTATTATTCTCTCCATGTTGGTTGATACAAGTTTGAGTTTATCTTCTATTGCTCGACCTGTTGCCATACGTTGTCGTCTACACTTGTGTTGTGCGGCAGACCCAATTTTCATTCTTTATGGCAACGGCTGTACACATGCATGCACACAGGATGAGGTGGACCTGGTTGTGCATGTGGGCGATTTCGAGCTTGAGTTGCAGTGGTTGCGAGTGGTGCCTAGTCAAGCTTTTGACCTTATTTTTGGTATGGATTGGTTGCAGCGCAATCATGCCAAATATGATTTTGAGGCTTCTCCCCCTTGTTTTATACTTCCTTATGTTTCATCTATTCCTCTCACTTCCATACCTCTTTGTCCTTCTACTTCTACCTCTGCTTCCATTACTTTTGTTCCCCCACTATTTCCTCATGTGTTTCCATCTTGTTTTGCTCTTCCCTTTTCCGATCCCTCCGACAATCTTTGTGTTGTAGCTGTTGACCGGCTCATGAAAGAGTATTTTGATCTCTTTGAATTTGACCTATCGTTTGGGGCCAAGATTGCCACATGTCATCCGAATCCAACCGGGGATGCTTGTCCAATCAAGGTTCCTATTTATTGTCGGTCACCTAAGGAAATCAAAATTTTATATACAAACATCAAGGAGATGTTGGAGAAGGGTGTTATTCGGAAGTTGCAGAGTCCTTAGGCATGTGAATCTCATCTTGTGACGAAGCCTGATGGGAGTATTTATTTCTGCATTGACTATCATCCATTAAATAAAGTGACGATCCTAGATGTGTACCCTCTTCCTCACATTATTGATCTCTTGGATCATTTGGGGCGAAGTCATTAGTTCACCAAGCTAGATCTTGCTTTTGGGTACTGGCAAGTACTGATGGCCGAAGAAAATATTCCTAAGACTGCTTTTTGTACACCATTTGGTTTATACAAGTTCTTGGTGATGCCGTTTGGTTTGAACAATGCTCCAGCAACTTTCTAACAGATGATGGACGAAGTTCTTTGCAATATGCTGGAGGTGACTACTGATTTCATTGATGATGTCTTGATCCACTCGGAGGGGACGTGGAAGGAGCACATTCGTGATGTTTGTAAAGTGTTAAATTGGTTATATGACATTGGTTTAAAGCTGAAGCAGTCGAAGTGTGTGTTTGGGTCTAAGGATACAACTTATCTTGGGTATCGTATTTCTTGTGAAGGTTTGCAAGTTGATCTTGGCTTGTGGCTATTCTAAAGTTCCTTACTCCGAAGTGTGTGAATGATGTGCAACACTTCTTGGGCAAGATGCAGTATCTCAGTCATTTTGTGAATCATCTTTCTGATTGCACTGCACTATTGTGAGCGTTGCTGAAGTCATCAACATCATCTTTCATCTGGTCTCCAGATTGTGAGCAGGCGTTTGGGGATCTCAAAGAGCTATTGACGACTCCTCCGGTTTTAGCATATCCTGACTACACTCAACCTTTTATTTTACACGTGGATGCTTCTGACATTGGTCTTGGAGGTGTGTTAATGCAAGAGAGTTCAAGTGTGCTTGGTCAGCGCCATCCCATTGTGTATATAAGCCATACATTACAACTAGCGGAGATGAACTACTTCACGATAGAGGAGTGTTTAGCAGCAGTCTGGGGTTTCGAGAAACTTCATGCATATCTATATGGTTCTCAAACATTACTTGAAGGTAACTATACTGTTATTATTTCATTATTGAAATGGAAAAACCTGGTTGGTCGTACTGTTTGGTGGGCTTCAAAGTTTCAGATATATGATTTTGATGTTGTTCATCGCCTAGGGAGTTCTATGGCTAATGCTAATGCCCTTTCTTGAGCTCCTTTTCCTTCTCCACTCTCTTCTCATATTTCTGATGAGCCTGTTGTTCTAGCATCTGTGGATTTTCTAGACGAGGATTCTGTGCCATCGGTAGTTGCTGTACTTGACGTTCAGTGTCCACTAGGCCTACTTTCTTTTGATAAGGTTCACGAGACTCAAAAGATTGAGCCGTGGATTCGAAGGCTTCGAAATGGGTTTGAGAATCTTACATCACTTGTTGATGACTTGCCTTTTTAGCATTTACATTCTCAATATCGCCTTGAAGACGGCCTTCTTTATTTTGTGGGGACGGATCCTAATGATTATTTACGGCTGGTGGTGCTTTCTATCTTTATTCCGCGGTTTCTCCATGCTTACCATGATTCTCCTGTTCTAGGTGGGCATATAGGACATTGTCGTGTAATCGAGAAGTTATGCAGGTCTTTCTATTGGCCGGAGATGCAATGTGATATTATCCGGTATGTGCATAGTTGCATTTGGTGTTAAGCTTGTAATACTCCCCCTCGGGCTACGGAAGGACAGTTGGAGTCAATTGCAGTTTCCTGTCCGTTTGAGTTGGTGGCATTTCATCTTATGGGACCTTTTCCACGGTCAACTGCTAGCAATGAGTATGTTATTATTGCTTCTAACTACTTAACTCATTAGGTGGAAGTTAGTGCTCTTGCTAGCACCTCTGCAACTGCTGTTGGATACTTCCTCCTCAATTGAGTGGTGTTCCAGCATTCTTGTCCAGAGTGGATTCTTTCAGATAATGGTCCCACATTTATGGCTGAAGCATTTCATATTTTGACATCTTGGTTGGGGATACACCACACTTTCACGAGTGTTTATCATCCACAATCAGACGGTCTGGTGGAATGGCTCGTTCGGACATTCAAGGGGATGATTGCGAAGTATGTGAACTTTCAGCATTCGGATTGGGATGGTGTAGCGCATGTGATCATGGGATGAGATTTGGATATACTGTCACCGTGGATCCTTGGAACCTTGGGGGATAAATGGGGATAAAATAGCCACTAAGGGCTCTCTCATCAAGCAATTGCCCCTTTTCCAATTGGCTTAAGGGGAAAGAGATAAGGTGCGTTACAGTTGGTATAAGAGAAAATGGCACGGGTTCGATTCCCATTGATTAGTAGCTACTTAAAAGTATAATATACCCTTGAGCAAGGTATAGTCCTACCCCTAAATTTGAAATCATACGTATTGGGCATCCATGCGTACGTCCTTCCTCTTGTGTGGAGTATCCACGGACGAAGGTATCCACCATGGGACTACGGTATGGGTGGATGACTAGTTGCCTCACATGGAATAGCTAGTCTACACAATGGAAGGATTGGTTGATTCAGTGCGGAAATGGAGGTGCTGGTTCCCCTTGGCTCAGTAGGGGTTGTTAGTCAATAGTCAATGAGGACATTGACATCTCTGAAGGGGGGGTGAATGTAGCGCATGTGATCATGGGATGAGATTTAGATATACTGTCACCATGGATCCTTGGAACCTTGGGGGATAAATGGGGATAAAATAGCCACTAAGGGCTCTCTCATCAAGCAATTGCCCCTTTTCCAATTGGCTTAAGGGGAGAGAGATAAGGTGCGCTACAGATGGTTATTTGCCGTATCTTCGGTATGCATATGTCACAGGGGTGTAGAGTTCTGTTGGTGCTTCACCATATAAACTCCTATATGGTCATAATCCAATATTACCAACGAAGCTGGGTTTACCTTCATGATTGCCACGAGCTGCGGATGCTAGGTCGTGGGATCAATATTTGATAAGCATTCTTCCACTTGTCCAAGTGAAATCTGCCAAACACTTAGGCTGCATACAAGTGGGACAACAATGGCAGTACAACTCCCATCATTGTCCACCTGCAGAGTACAAAGTGGATGATTTGGTGTTAGTCTATTTTCCCTATCTTATGGTACGTGGTTTATCTAAGGGGCTCCTTGCGCAATAGAAAGGACCGTATCGGCTATTGCGGCAAGTTGAACCACAAGTTTTTGAAGTTCGGCATGACGTCTAGCAGGCTAATCCTCTAGAGATTGTGCATGTGCAGCAATTGAAACACTTCATACAAAGGGATCATAAGTAGTTAATACCACCTACAGATCCGTTGATGCCTCCTCCTAATGTTCCTCCAGATCCCGACCCATCTACAAGAGAACCCTGATGGTCTTCCATTATTCCGAGAGGAGGGGATGATGTGAGGGCCAAGTGTACAGCTATGATGCCGTATACTAATATTAGCGTAGTGGGATTTTGGTAGCCGTCAGATTAGTTTCAATCCGGACTACTCGCTCCTGTATATAAGCTAAGGTTTTTGGGCTAATTGATATACACATTTTCTGTATTCTCTTTCCATATTCCAAGCACTCATAGTATAAGTTCAACACACACCTCTCCATCCTCATCTCTTCCACTCTTTTCTCTTATCTTCTTCTCAATCTCCAAAATCTCTCAAAGGACTTCCATGGATTCTCTTCTCTACTCTAGTGTTTGGTACTACTGGACAACTTGTCTGTGCTTGGTGATTGCATTCTTTGTGCTGCTCAATCTCTACTCAAGGAAGAAGGCACATAGCAATCTTCCACCCGGTCCCTTTTTTTGGCCTCTTGTTGGATCACTGCCCTCTCTCAGCCACTCCAGGCACCACTCTCTCCATCGTCTCGCCAAGAAGTATGGACCGATCATGTATATGGAGCTGGGAAGCCGTCCTCACGTAATCATCAGCAGCCTTGCGATGGCCAGGGAGGTTCTCAAGGATCACAATGTCGAGTTTGCGAGCAGGCCCCAGTTTCACACCTTCTTCAAGAACGTAAGCCACGACTACAATGATCTTGTGTTTGCTCCTCATGGCGAGCGCTGGAAGATGCTGCAGCGAGTGAGCGGCACAGAGATCTTCGCCACCGGGAGAGTGAACCACTTCTCTGGGATCCGCAAGCGCGAGCTCGCGGCATTTGCCTCGATTGTAGAGAAGTCGGTGGCTGCCGGGGAGGCATTTGATCTCACCACGCTGCTTCACGAGCTCTTCACCAACTTGATGACGTCAGTTCTCTTCGGCCAGAACTTTTATAACTCGGACACCCCTGTCACCCGAGAGGCTGAGGGTTATCGGGCTGTGTGGGACACGATCACCGAGGAGTCAGAGCGGCTGTACATCGGAGACTTCATCCCTGCACTGTGATGGGTCGACAAGATCAAGAGGAGCGAGCACAGGCTGAAGAACCAGATCATACCGGCAGTGGAGAACTTCCTAAACGCGATCGTCAAGCAGCACAAGGAGAGCTTCATCTCGGAGAATCCTCCCAGGGACTTTGTGGACGTGATGCTCTCACTGGGTGGCGAGAACAAGTTGGATGACATGGCAATCATCGCACTCCTCCAGGTAAGGAGAAAAAAATCTCTTCTTGCTCGCTAAGAACTTGTGCTCGATTCCTTGACAGAATCTTCTCTTAGCTGGGACGAACACCTCCAAAGGCACTGTGGAGTGGGCGATGTCCGATATGATACACTGCCCCGGCGTCCAGAAGAAGGCGCACGAAGAGCTCGACCGGATCGTTGGAAGGAACCGCTGCCTGGAAGAGACAGACCTCAAAAATCTCCCTTACATCCAAGCCATCGTCAAGGAAGTCCTGCACTTGCATCCACTGGCCACCACTGGCCTCCCACACAGCAATCCCGGGACCTCCCAGCTCGCCGGCTACACAATCACGGCCAACACCACGCTGCTCGTCAATATCTGGGGGATCCATCACGACCCGGCGAACTGGAGCGATCCCAAGAGCTTCTGTCCAGAGCGATTCCTGGGCAGCGATCACAGCATCCTGGGGAACCACTTCGATCTCATACCTTTTGGATCCGGGCAGCGCCGCTCCCCACGTGTCGCTCACGCTGGCCTATCTTCTGCATCGATTCGAGTGGAGGGTGCCGAATGGGCAGGAGATTGACATGGAGGAGAAGACGGGGCTGGCGACCATGCCCGCCAAGCGTCAGATTGTCTGTGCCACTGTGAGAAAATGAACAACTTTATGGATACCTTTAAAATATTCATATTTGCAAACTAGGTTATCCCGAAATATTGCGCAAACCTTTGATGCTCCATAAAGGTAGAGGGTAGGGTTGGAGGATCTGAATTAATGAAGAAGGTTAGTGTTCTTGAAGTTTGGAGATTTTAAGAAGCTTGGATGCAAACATTTGCCACAGAGCGTTCAGACCTTTTGACATGCTCAACAATCTATAAAGGTAAAGCCTGTGGCTTGGTGGAGTTGCAGAACTAGCCACCTGAGATAAAACAGATGGTCATTGGTAGTAAGCCGGGTCCAAGCATGGCTCAGAAGGATTACACAAAGGCACAGGCCCAGATAGAACAAATGCAGGCCCAGCTAGCCAAGATTGTCGGAGACCATATAGTCCCTGATAAAGCTAGTGCATGCCCAACTATCCATACTGTGTAATGCTACAAGATAGTTAAAGAGCATAAGAAATGGTTTTTGGAATAACACTAGGCATGATAGTGGCTTTGAAGATGTAGTTTAAAGTGCAGGAAGAGTTCATAAAAACCATGTGGTTCACAAATAGTACCAAAAGTTAAAGGGAGATAATGAAGACAGCAGTTAAAGACTTATGTACAACCTTTTTGAAAGCAAATACTGTCACGACTACAATATCATTTGGCCTTTTAAATTTTAATCGTGACAGTGTTCATCTTTAAAAAGGCTGTACACAAATCTTCAGTTACCATCTTTGTAAAATGCACATTACTTCCCAAGAACTCTAGAATTTGAAATACTTGTGAACCATAGAATTTTCATGAATTCCTCCTACACCTTAAACTACATCTTCAAAGCCATTATCATGCTTTCTCATGCTCTTCAACCGTCTTTATAAGGTATGCCTGTACCTTTTCATGGTCTTTAACTGTTTTGGTTCTTGTACTAGTGTTTGGGAGTGCTGCAAATGTTTGTACAACCTTTCTGAAGATGAATGTTGTCACAATCACACATTGTTTAGTGTGGTAAGGTTCAGTCTATCTTCCTTTGTGGAGCTCTAAGTTTTTATATACATTCACAACTGGAACAAAGAAAAACGAGCCTATTAGGAACTTTCAGGCCATAACATCACACCGTGTGGTTTTTATGTGCCAAACGATGTTGTAGTTGTGCTATACATGAGAACCACACTGTATGATGTTATGGCCTGAGAGCTCCTCTTTAACAAATTCGTCTTTCTTTGTTACCTTCACAAAGGAAGCAAAAAGTTAGAGCTTCACAAAGGAAGAAAAATCGAAACTTATTAAGTCAGACAATGCTGTAGTCGTGACAGTGTGGTTCTCGAGCTGGTGTGCGGATGTATATACAGCCTTTCTGAAGGCGAATGCCATCACGACCATGATATGGTCTAGCCTGGTAAGTTTCAATCTATCTTCCTTTGTGGAGCTCTAATCCTCTATAGACATTCACGATTGGAACAAAGAAAAACAAATCTGGTGTCATACAGTGTGGTTCTTGTGCTGGTGCTTGGAGTGTTGCAAATGACAATGGTGTTGTCCATGAAATTGATGCTCTCCTTGATAATACTTGTCGAATGGGGGATTTCACTTTTAAGTGCTTTGGCAAGCATCTAGAACGTCACTATGGAGGAGTGGGTATGGTATAAAACCATGCTGATCAAACAACACAACAGTGGTCATCCAGATGTCCCATAAGCTACCTCCCAGCTCAAGAAGGAGCATGTACCTCAAGTGGATGAGCTCTTAACAAATTATGGAGGCATTTGCACTTGCTCTTTATTCTTGAAATGTGTTAAATTTAAGTGAAAAATACATTCGTACTATGTTTTAAAATAAAGTAAATTACTTTACATTAAAATTTAGGATATTTTTTAAAAACATTTTCATTCACACATAGTGCTAACTTTAACACAATGTTTTCACTTTTTAAAACATTCAGACCAAAAAAAATTGATTTTAAAAGATGGGGGAATCTTAAAATATTTTTAAAAGGAATCTCCAAGATTCCCAAAAGATTCCAGCGCCCTGATTAAGGTGTTTTGCGAGCTGGGATTGCCACGAGCTCGGGCATTGATGGCGGGGGAGGCTGATAATAGTCATTGCCAAAGTAGGCTCTAGGTCATATTGGGGATTCAGTGGAGGAATGAGGAGTAGCCAATTTTGGGGAAGGAGGAGCTGTAGGGTTTGATAAGGAGATGGTGCTGGTTCAGGGTGGTGTCATCCAATGTGGAGGTGCTGCTCATGGAGTGAGGAGCAACTGTGGTGGAGGAGCATTTGGGGCTGGAGGATGGGCACTAGGCCCAACTGTCACTCGAGGAGGCAGGTTGCTTCAAAGTTGAGGTTGTGAAGATGCCGAGCTTGTGGATCTTGGCCTCAATCAGGGCCGACCTGGAGCTAGAGCGTGGAGAGCTGTAGCACGGGGAGCTAAAGCCTCTCCCCCACGGCTTTTAGAACTTGATTGTTCTCCAAATTCTATTACTAAAGAGGTAAGTTTCATCCCGAGTTTAGCTCAGAGTTTCTAGGAGAGTGGTTTTGGGTTTAGGTTTTGAATTTGATTTGAATTTGAAAATTTAAAATATTTTAAAACATGTTCGAATGCTATTTTAAAGACATTTTAAAGTAAGTCAAATGCAAAGTCACTAGTGTTTTACGTTAAATTTTTACCACAAAAACCTATGCAAGTGATGTTTTAAAATGCATATTTAAAGTTTAAAACAAGTTAAAAACTACTCAAGTGCGAATGCAGCAATCACAAAAATTAAAATACACATTTTAAAATATTTTTATATATAGCACAGGTGTGAATGGCTCCTATCTCACTTACTAACATTTATTTGGTTTTCTATTGATAGATGTTTATAGTTTTACACCCATAAACTTGTTCTATAGAGGGGAAGTACATCACATAGAAGCTCTATTTGGTTTATCATTTGAGACAACATACCTTGCCAATGCTTTTTTGGGGCAGACATAACTATTATCTACATAAGCAAAAGGTTGAGGGATGATATCCTTTGGTTGTGGGACCAAAGTGACTATCATTGTTAACAAGTAAGAAGGTTTTTATAGAATTTTTTTTGCATTAATTATTTTTAATGAATTTTATTTGTTCCATAAATACAAAAATATGACTTAGCAGCCAAGTTCAAAGCTTGGGTGGCTGACTCCACACCCCTTTTTGGAGTTTTAGCTCACACTCAATCTTCTAAACTTTAGAAACCAAGATAAAAGGAATAAAAGTCTATTTATTTTAATCAATTATATACTCCAGTGGAGAAAATCCTTAAAAATGCTATTAATTTTCAATTTGTTTTATATGTAGTTGATCTTATATAGTAAGCTCAATCAAGATAGTAAAATATTGATAGAATAACTTCAATATATTGCTAATAAATATAATCAAAACTTTAGAATTTAAATTTGGATGTTGGTTTTTATAGGATGAGGGAAGTTTCATAAAAAATATTGTAGTTGAAATTTAAAAACTTCTACACATACATATCAAACATTCAATCATAAAGGCAATGTTCTTATTAAATTCATTTGCTTAATGTATAAAACTCCAATTGAATGGGTTACAAAATAACAATGTTTGATATTTTAATGATAAAATGGTACAAAGTTTGTATGAGATACCTAAATAATTTCTCAAGTTAAATTTAAAATATTTATTTATTAAATAATTAATAATAATATAATTTCTAGATAAATAGCTAAAATTATTTATAATATTATAGTTACTTGTTGTGAGTGCATAGAATATAGAAAGGAAATAAAAAAATGTGCATATCAATTAACCCAAAAACCCTAGCTTATATATAGGAGTGAATTGTCTGAATTGAGACTAATGCAATACACAGATAGAGAATTTTAGAATAGCTGTAAGTTTATTAGAATTAACTTGCAAACCTTCACGAGAAATATGGTACTCAAGATAAATCGTGTCTTTGGACTAAAACACGCACTTCAACTGTTTCAGCTTTAAACCAACTTCTTGTAGCCAATCCAACACTTTATGAACATCACGGACATGTTCCTTTTATGTCCCTTCTGAGTGGATTAAAATATCATCGATGAAGTCAACAGTCACTTTCAGCATATCACAATGAACCTTGTCCATCATCTGTTAGAAAGTTAATTAGAACTTTGATTGGACAAATGTCCCCAATTGTAATAAGATGATGTGTGACAATCTTGGTCTTAGATGATAAGTCAAATTCAAATAAATCAATATACTTCTTTATAAGCCAGTTGACCACTACAATACAAAGACCATCAAAGGGATAGGAAAAAGGAATAGAAGAATAAAATAGAAATATAAAAGGAAGTAATAGGATGTAGCGCACGTGGTTTTGACCCTTTATCCTATGGTGATTTACCATAGGATAACACCATGAAGCGGAACCTAACCCTCTTTGTGCCACGTGACAGATGCCACGTGTCACATGCCACGTGTCTATGCCACGTGTCCATAGGAACCTGAGGTTCAGGGCCTTGGGCCACTGAACGAAGGAACGGTGCCAAACTCCCAAACATGGAGCCAAGGAGTGACGGAACCAAACCACGGAGCAACTCCCGAGCATAAAGCCCAAGGAGCGAAGGGACAAGAGCCCGGAGCGACTTGGAACAGTCCTAGAGTAACCAGCATCCCAATGCCAGGACCAGCACGCAAAACGGAGCCAAACGGAGTCTGGCGCTACTTCGGCATACCAGTGGCCTAACGTGAGGATATGGGTACTCCACTAGCTAGCATGGAATGGAACTTGGGCTTAGACCCAAGCCGAACGCAAAACAAGGACAGGCCCCCAACCGGGGGTTAGATTTTCCCCCAATTTTTTGGGCCATCCCTGATTTCCCCCCTTTCCCTTTTAAAATTTTGAAACCCCCCAAAGGCCCCCCCCCCCCCCCCCCCCCCCCCTTGAGGAACACACGCTTTGG